CTGTGATATATATATATATTAAGGTGGCATTATATACAAAACCTCAAGTCTATTGAATTCGAAGTTCATGATGGTAAAGGTCGTAGAACCCTGTCAATTTTTAATAAATAGACGAAGTTTTCCAATGATTGAAATTGATTTTCAGCAAATTACAGTAACATCAATTTTGAAAAAAGGACACAATTTAAAGTTACTTTGTCATTTATCTATATAATCAGAGTCAGTTAAGTCCCGCAGTGGACTGATCGTTAAGACACGAATCCCAGCAAATCACCGAAGTCAAGCATCATTGGCTGTGGTCAGTGTGCTGGTGGGTGACTACTTGGATTAGTCTGTGTAGGGACCGAGGGTGTGCGGTATGGGTCCTCGTTAAACTGTTCTACCGTAAAGTACTCGACTTCGCGCGCAGGTCGTCGGGCTACCGAACCGGGGGTGCCATCCCCTCTGCAGAGGATCAAAATTGTGATGGCATGTCTTCCGATCATCCTCAGGGATGTTACCCAGACCGTCGCCAATAGCCCATTGTGCAGCTCTATTGCGATGTAAATGAACTACAACAACAACAACAACAGAGTCGGTTAAATTTAAATTCTTAGATCAATATATTGAAAATTAAATTGCAATATTGAAAATCTAATAGTTTCCGTATTTTTTATTTAATAAAATTTGACGTTTTTGATAAATATCTAATAATTTCGTTGCATGAAAACTTTTTTTGAGTTTTTACTTTTTAATTATTTTATTCATCTCCGAGTTTTTATTTTAATTTTTTTGAATTTTTTACTTTATGTTAACATTCATCGGCATGTTCAACAGTAATGAATAAACACTAAATTTTTTTCATACAATGGAACTAAATGATGTAGTAATTAATTCTTTCATTAATTATTTTTTTTTTTTACTTTTACTCAGAATTACGTTTTATTTCGACGATTTAAATTATATCAACAACTTTTTAATGGATTATTTTATTCTATATTCTTTTAACAAAACGCACTACACTTTATATACCATTTTCATTTTTAACCCAGTTAAATTATTACTTCAAAATGTCTTAATTAATGTCAAAATAATGTCAAAAAATGATCATTTTCTCTTAATTCTTGTAAACTTTTTAACTTTTATTATTCTTAATTGTTTTATTTGTGTAGTATTTTTTTTTCATATAAATATTGATTGTTATTAACAATGATTTAACACTAAATTTCTCTACATTCGACATATTTTTTCAAGTACCAAAGCCAAAAAAATGAAGTTGTTCGTTCTTATATTAATTCTTACTTACTTCACTTTAACTTTGTATAATGTTTCCTGTGCACTACTTGAACTATATTAACAGCTTTTTGACGGATTATTGGATCATTTTAAATTCTTTCCTTCAAAACAAGCACTATATTTTTATTTAAACGGTGCCAAAATAAAAATAAAAGCTTGAAACTGGAAAAATTTATCATTTTCTTTTATGCTTCTCCTTATGTGATGGGATACATAATTATAACTTTTGAAACTTTTTTATACGTAACTAAATTGCAAATTTAAAAAACAAATTTTGAACAGTGAAATCTAAAGGTTTTTTTTTATTATTAAATTAAAATTTAAGTAACTTTTTATGTAAAAAATACTTCAATTGATTACTCAAATATATATATATATGTATATATATATAAAACATACAAATGTATACAGAATACATAAAATTGCTATATTGTTTATAAAATCAGATTGGAAAACTTTAACTGAATTCAAATTAAAATCCCCAAAGCCACGAGATTTTTCACATATTCTCTGTATTTAAAATTTATAGAATTATAATTTATTTTCCTTTAAGACATATATTAAATAACATCATTTTAATCATTAATAACAAATTTATTTTTACATTTCAATCTTTGTACTCAAGTTTTAAACAGCAAAGCNTAAGAAATTGAAAATAAAAAACACTTCTGAGAAAACTCCAAACAAGTCAATACAATCAATGTATCAGAATACGTCATCAGGTCAATGCCCTTCACAGTCATAAAATTTTAAAATTAAATTCCAGCTTAGAAGTTCAGATTAAAACTAAATTTGAAAGATTTAATTAAAATTATTACTAAATATTGCAAAGAGAATTTTGTGTTTTAATATTTGAGTTACATGATCTTATGAAAACACAAAAACAATGAAAAAAATTTTTATAAAATAGTGAAAACAATTCTATCCCTTGTTTATAAACGCTACGCAAAAACAATTTGGCGACAGAGCAGGTTTGGCTTAAAAGTTTCCGCCAAGAATGCCAAGCGGTGCCGAAACCGTGAGCATTTCCGTGAGTGCCACCGGGCAGCATAATTCGAAGCGTGAAAAGTAACAGATCGTCACTCAATCGCAATTAAGAATAATCGCGTGTATTTATTTTAGATTATTCTTTCATTTCTTTTCCTGCCTTTAGAAGGTGGGCAATGAGAAAATGAAATGTAAAATCCATAATGGACAGAGAAAAGGTCTCTTAAAAACATCGCATTTGATAGAAAAAGCTTAAAACTAGCATAGGCGAAAAACACATATTAAGTAATGTTTTGAAAACGCTTTAATTTTCAGGTTTGACGACAGATCATGGTCGGCTAAAAGTATAGAACGTAACATTATTCTTCAGTCTTCAGTGGTTGAGCCTGTTTCGTAAACTGATGATACTTTATAAACTTAAACAGTTGCAAAACTCTTAATTTCGACCTAATTTTATACCCTATTTTTTACCATTATGAAGCTGACTTTCACAAACACGTTTTCTAATATGTTATTGGAATAAAATTGTTAGTATCTCTTATTTTTTCCTCGAATGAAATGAACCATAGTAAATTAAACCTTGCAAATTTTAGTTTATTAAGCTCGTAACCAAGTCACGGTGGTTTCTGCACAAATTCGCTTTTTTTTTTTCAAAGTTTATAACTATACTGGTTTTGTTCCAAGCTCGATTCGCTCACCAATCCTCGCAATTGCTACAATCAATCATCCACCCTAATAATTGACAATTCCGCCTTCATCTACGACTTTTTTTTTTAAATAATAGTGCTAAAAGTTAATTCCTAATAACATTTACAATATTTCTGTTACATTGAAGGTAGTTTTTAAACAAAGATTATAATAAAAGTAAGCTTACTGTTTGATAATGATACAACGGTTGATGTGTTTTTATACTGATTTAAATAGATTTATAATAAAATAATCCTTTCAAATAACATGATGACATAACGTTAATATGTACATATCTATCTTGAGTTCCCCAACCATCAATATGCACAAAAACATAACTGTTTTAACCTAGTTTTTCGAAACTCTTTAGCCAAAGAAAATAAAAACTTCACGCTTAACACTTGAAGCAAAGCTGTATTTTATACTGTATATGCCATCTTGCTGTAAGGATTTGTCTGGAATTTGAAACAGAGAACTAACTAGAGTAATTTAAAAGTTGCGAAATTTTTTAAAAAAACCACTATTTTGGCGAAATTTCTCCACCTTGATGAATAGTATCAAAATCCTTTTTCCCATTTTTTGCAAATTTTTATGAGTCCAGATAATGCAATATTGGAGTAAGTTTCTAAATAATAAAAAAATTAGAAAACAAACGCTTTTCATTTTCTCAAAACTATAGCTTTTTTCCATATTAACGTTTTGCGCTATTTTCAGAATAAACATAGAAGGCGCAGGTTAAATACAGGCTTAACATGACTTAACCGTCAAGAGTAACTGTTGCTAACTCAGATCAGTTATGAAAATAG